TTCTGGTTCGCACAAATTATCCTCATTGGGATATGTTTCGGGTATGTGACCTGCCGTGTAGTATTCAACCGAGGGTTCACACTGTACAAAACTTTCATCGGTTAAATCGGTAAATTGCCATGGCAATAGCAACACCTTACGTTCCTCGGCATCTTTGGCCACATATTCCACAAAGTCACGACACACCTGATCACCCTGCTCACAATCCTTAATGGGGAACAGTAAACTGTAGGTCACCTGGCTGTCTAAATGCAAAAATGGTACCATTCTAAAGTTGGGGTCATCTGAATGGACCACCGCAGAGCCCACTTCATCCATAATATACCAAATTGGTTGACGATCTTCATCGGATAATTGTTCACTGTTCAGTGTATAAACTTGGGCATATTTCCAGATTTTCGCAAGCACCTTGTCCACACGTTGTTCATCCTCCAAATCCACACCCGTAATTGCGCACATGCGATTCAGCAAATGGTCATATTGTTCCAACTGCTGGCGGGCAATATTTGTTCTAAATGTCCAGGCATGATCGACCAAGAATACAGCATTTGGATCATTGGCACGAACACCACCCTCGGCAGCGACGGACAGGGCAAACACTGGCCGACACTCCTTCTCATCATCTGTCACATTGGTATCCTCGGCATCCTCTTCGTCATATTCGATGAGCATCAGCTGCAACACGACACCAGCATCGAAGGTCTCCGTTGTTACTTTCCGATAAATTGATTGCCAAAAATGTTGTGGTACAGCAGCAGCTTCCAGTTGGGGTTTGTGGCGTGCCACAAATTGATGAAATAGATTAATGCCGTCCATTATTTGCAGGGCAGTTGTCGGTGAAATGTGAATGATTCGATTTGTATATGTACGAAATGAATGAATACCGTCGTCCACCGATTAGTCTGGAACATATGATGTGAGGTTAAAAACGTTCTGAAAGCTACGAATGCGGGAGATAGGAGAGAATGGTCCGTAATGTTTACGAATGAGTATAAAGCATAACGCTGTCATGGCACCGGTCATGTTTAGAAAGAGGGCATTGAAGAAAGGTAAGTAATTATTCGACTGCGTAACGTAATGGTAAAATAATGCGGGATATCTAAAGTGAAATTAATGTAACGGAAAAAATATCTTAAACGCGAATATAAATAATTTTTGGAAGGGAGATTTGTTACTCAATATGAATATCAAATATCAAATTGCAACGAATTCAATTGAAATTCAAGTCCAAAATACTGAAATTTTGGGAGACCGTTATATGGGGGCTGTCGGAAAAAGCTTCATTCAGGGGAGGCTTTTAACTCTGCCACCATCAACTCTAGGGAATGAACACTTATTGAATTTGGATCTAACACATACGCACTCACAGCATACTCTCAAACTTGCTCCCTGAAACAATAAAATTAACACAACGTATTATATTTCATATTTAAACATAAAAACAGACATTTAACACTAATAAAACAATTAAATTCTTCTTCTTCTCTCCTGTATTATTAAAGTCAAAAAACTATCTTATTCAGTCGGTGTCATTATCTCTGATTACATTCAGTGACCAAATAGATAATCGGTTAATTTGACCAAGATTGCAAGTTACTAAGTCTGCCTAAAAGAGCTCTGTTAATGCCATGTACAGACGAGCGTTGTTCGCTCTCTCATTCGTTGTTCGACCCTTAATTATTAAGTAATTACTTAGTTCCCCATACAAAATTTTCTGAGCGAACACCGACTTTTGTGCGTTGTTCAATTCGAATCACTCTCCGAATAACCAAGAAAATTGTCCCATCCCTAACAATTGAGAACATTTATCGAAAACAATTTAATTTTGACAGCTTGAAAATATTTATACATTTTTTAGACTTTTTTAATAAAATTGAAAATGATGAATGAAAAGTAAAAAATTGTTTAGTTTTTATATATGCAGCAGGATGTAAATTTTGTTATCTACATAATGCAATATGAATTTCTTTCCCCTTGGTTCTAATTAGCGTACAAAACAAGAAACAACTTTGGGGAAACTCAAACAAAAAATTCTCCAAATTTTTATGTGTGACATTTGAATTTACAAAATATAAAAATGTATGAAAACAACAATATTTTCAGAAAAAATGGAAAACATGAATTAAAAGTAAATAGATATGGTTTCATACTATAGTCATGAGAAAGAGAATTAATTTTTCTATTTAGATCGATATGTGCTTCATGCAAATATGTTAGAATTTTGGTGTAAAACAAGAAACAAAAAGTTTGAAATAAAAAACTGTGATGACATGAATTAAGAATAGTGTTGTATGAACGGGTTAATTCATGTACGTAATTCTGAGAGCGAACTACGTTGTTCGAATCCCGAATGAAAGAATTTTTATTGTGTAAAGAAATTTTTTTAACTTATTTTTTACATAATTTACAATCATACAAAACGTTGTTATTATTTGTTTTCGGTCGGAGGGCTCTCGAGTTTCCCTTTTTGAAAAATAAAAAAACGCGGACAAAATGTTCGAAAAAGAGTGTTTACTCTAACAGCCTGTTTTTGTAAAATTCAAATCGAAACAATTCGGACGAATTACTACCAAACCTTTATTTATGTAGAAAAATGTGTTTTTGATTCAAAACAAAAATAAATGACATATTTTTCAAAACCAAGGAGTTTGGTCGTAAGTCACTCGAAATGTGTTTTTGATTCAAAACAAAAATAAATGACATATTTTTCAAAACCAAGGAGTTTGGTCGTAAGTCACTCGAATTCGTTCGTTTACAAAAACAGGCTGTAAGAGCGAAATCGACTGGAAATATAAAATTAATTTTTCCCGATTTGTGTGTTCGTATGTGTTTTTAGAGTAGCAAACGGGTTTCGATGTTGTTGTACTGATCTGGTCATATAAAAAATTTACTTTATACAATAATAAAAGTAGTTTGATTATTTAATATTTCACAAGAGGTCAAAATGACCAACCTATATGGGGGCTAACCGGAAAAATAGATTAACAATTATTATTTTATTAATTTTTTAAAACTAAAGAAACTGAAATGACAAATTGAATAAATGACCTGTAACTTTTTTGAAAGTAATGTTATAGTGGAAGTTTTTTCAGAAATAAATAGGTAATTTATTCATTTTAAAAAACGAAAGAATACAAAAGTAATATTTATTATTTATCCTAAACCTTGCGGAAGAGGTTAGTTTTGTGGATGGGCAGTCACTAAAAAAAGCTGGGGATAGAAATGATAATAAGCTAAAACATGGAAGTATGAAGAGGTAGGTAAGAAATAGTTTCGATGGCTATAGAAATTTGAACAGAAGGCATATTACGTGCTAAGGTTGCACTTTCCCAACCACTTAAGATGAAGACCATGGTACAATTATAAAAGGTAACAGCAAATCCCAGCTGATTTGATTCCAATGTAATACTAGTGTCAATATGAATTTGACAAATTATGTTTTTAAAAATCACCCAACAGGAAAATTGGGAACGCATACAATTTGAAATTGTTCTTTATTAAATGTGCTCCTTTCATATGTGTTACACATATATATGGCAATGGCTCAATTATAGGAAAGATGTGGAAGCGATAGAAATATAAATTTGATAGATTTTCATTCATGTTTTTCAATTTTTATTTTGAAGATTCGAAAATATTTCATTTTCAAAATAAAAATAATTTGATGATAATTTGTTTATTTGTTTACATTTTTCTGTCAAAAGAGTTGACACTAGTAGAACTTACAAAAACAAATTTCCATGTGGTTGTTGTATCGTTTTTTGTACAACAACACTTGCTGTTACCTTCTATTATTATACCATGGATGAAGACGTAAATTAAAACAGGTTCCATAGTTACAAAGAAGCTTAGACACGGTGGAAAGTGGGCACCCACTAGCCTGTGCCGTCTGTAGGTCAGAGGGAAGAGTTAATGTTTGTTAGTGAATCCCTTTTGATTTTGCTATCTATGGTGTTCCAAAGATTCTCTATAGGATGAAGATCTGATGATTGTGTTGGTTGATTGTGATGATTGTTTTGACTCCTACAACTAATATTTGACATGTTTTGGTATAATTTGGAGGTTATTGTCAAGCTGAAACACCCAAACAAGCGGTATATTTTCTTCAGCGATGGGGACCATAGCGTTTTTTAACACAATTGTATAGACAATCCGATCTATTACTTCATAAATATCGTAAATATATCGAACTCCATAAAAAACTACAGCCCAATACCATTATTTGCCTTCCTCCATTCTTAACAGAACCCTTGCAATACTGTGGCATGACTTTCATTTGTGGACTTTCACACGGCAATTTTTTTCATGTCCGAGTCTTTATTTTTTACCTTTAATTTATGCGGGAGTATAATATTTTTCCACTGAGACGGATTTCAATTAATATGAGCTTTTGCGAAAGTCAATCTGGCTTTTCGATTCTTTCAGAAATAGAATAATATTTCTGAAAAGAACCGGGCATGTAGGCCTGCTACCGTAGGTTCACGCTCTGATCTTGAGTTTATATCCAAAGTACGAACTGATGTTTTCCACTGCCTCCCTCCCTACTGATATAATGACATATTTGTATGTTTTTATTTTTTTTTGCCGTATGTCAAAAATGAAAACAGGCACATTTTATTGTAATAACATCCTTTTAAAAATGATGTAGAAAAATCAAAATAAGTATAGGAACAATTTATTAACTTTTCAATTTTAGTTGCTTTAGGTTTGGTTTATCTATGTATTTATAAATTAACTTCAACTTTCGATTAAGGAATATCCTTAGTATTCCAAAAAATTCAATTTGTTTTCCAAATGGCAGTGACTAATTTCCACCTTTTACAGCATTAATTTTTATAAACCTTCATTTGTGCGAAATTGCATCGTGTAAATCGTGTCTATATCCACACACGATATCACGACATTTCGATAACAACAGAACAATCAATGTGTAATCGATTATCCTCGTTATCAGCAAAACGATTAGGGCAAAGAATCGAACTGATTGTCATTCAGTTGAGAGACGAGTGTGTTTAATCGGGTTTCTTTCATTGAAATTACTCGCAGAGGATTGCATTTATTTTAAGCAAAAAGTAATTTATTATTAATTTACAAAAGAAAAATATTTAAATTATTCACTAATCAATTATTTCTCCGTGTTTGTGTGTGCGTGCATTTGTGTTTTGTTTAGGAATGGCTCAAAGCAAATTGAACGATTTGGCTGGTAAATTCGGCAAAGGTGGTCCACCAGGTTTGACCACCGGTCTTAAATTGTTGGCTGCCGTTGGAGCTGCTGCCTATGGTGTCAACCAATCCTTGTATACCGGTGAGTTTCTTGAAATAAAGTGTCCAAAGTTCTTGAAAAGAGCTTGGAAATTGTGAAATACTGGAAAACATTTATTGTGAAAACCTAACCTCAAATCGGTGTGTGTCTGTGTGCATGCAAAGATGTTACCGATAATTTGTCGGTAAATTTCATAATAACAACGTGATGTTGCAAAATACAAAAATGAATGAAGATTCTTGAAATAATTTAAATTATTTCAATGAAAAAGACTATAAACTGCTAATGTGAAATGAATTTGTGTTAGAATTCTGTCAAGAAATGTTTTTGAACGTTGAATGGTGGACCGGTTGCATAACCTTTAAACCCATATACCAATTGCCGCCTTGATTGGTGCTATGTTGTATTACACACCATAACATGAACTGATTAATTAAGAATGTGATTTGATTTTGTTTTTCTTTAACTTTTCCAGTTGATGGTGGTCACCGTGCCATTATCTTCAGCAGACTTGGTGGCATCCAAAATGATATCTACTCCGAAGGTTTACATTTCCGCATTCCATGGTTCCAATATCCCATTATCTACGATATCCGTTCTCGTCCCCGTAAAATCTCTTCCCCTACCGGTTCAAAGGATTTGCAAATGGTGAACATTTCATTGCGTGTCCTTTCACGTCCCGATTCATCCCGTCTTCCCACAGTTCATCGTCAATTGGGTTTGGATTATGATGAGAAGGTTTTGCCCTCCATCTGTAATGAAGTTTTGAAGGGTGTTGTTGCCAAATTCAATGCTTCCCAATTGATTACACAGCGTGCACAAGTAAGTTGGAGAATTTTTTAAATTTCAAATTGAAAATAGATTTTTATTGAAATTGTTTGTGCTTTTAGGTTTCCCTCTTGATCCGCAAAGAATTGATGGAACGTGCCCGTGACTTCAACATTATTTTGGATGATGTTTCCTTAACAGAATTGAGTTTCGGCAAGGAATATACCGCCGCCGTTGAAGCCAAACAGGTTGCTCAACAAGAAGCCCAACGTGCTGTGTTCTTTGTTGAACGCGCCAAGCAGGAGAAACAGCAAAAGATTGTCCAAGCTGAGGGTGAAGCTGAAGCCGCAAAAATGATATCCTTTTCAAAACATTATTACAATTTTTAAATCAAAGTGGGTATGGTAATTTTAGACTTGCTGCGAAATGTTAGAAATTGGTTTTTGAATTTAGGGTACATATTGGAACATAAAAAGAGAAAAGTGAAGTTTAGAGCCCATTCAAAAATATAAGACATTCCAGTGGCATAATGCAAATGGTCCTCCCAAAGGATTTCTAGAAATAAATTAAACATCAGGTATCTATTACACAGGGAAAACATTCCAGAGTTCTTATGATGATTAAAGGACGTCCCTAAGTTTCCCTGACAGACCTTACAGAGGTATAATGCAAATGTTCCTCCAAAGGACTTCTAGTAATTAATGACACATCAGATGTCTTTTACATATGGAACAATTTTCAGAGTTCTTCTAAAGATGGAAGTACGCCCATAGGTTGCTCTGATAGACCTTACAGAGCTATTGCTTAGTTAGAATGTACTTCGAAGTTATTCTACATATAGAAAATTATTATTAATTGGTGGCATCCAAAGGACTTATTTATATCAAAAAGCCTCCCAAAGCCTTTTCAGATAAATTATTTTAGGTGTAGAAAAACTTCACAGAACATCTATTCTAAAATGGCTTTAAAACATTTTTTATAGAAGGGTTACTTTTCATTGTTGAAAATCTTTTCATTATTGTTACAAAACCTTTCAGAAATCTATAGACAGAAAATCATGTTTAAATATAGGATACCATTAAGAGATATTTTATTTATAGAAGACATTTCAAAAGTATTTCATAGATAAGACTACTTTTAAGATCTGTCAGAGGATTTCTACAAATAGAATACCCTACCCTCCTATAAAATAGGAGACTTTTAGATGTCGTCTATAAATAGATTTACATAGATAAAATACCTTAAGGAAATCTTAAATATTTTTCTATATATGGAACACCTCTAGAGTTTGCTGCTGATATGTCTTTCAGAGAGATTCTGTGTAGAATAACGGAGTTTTTAATTTTTCGTCACGGTTCTAGTCTTAATTTACCATAACCCTCTCCCTATTTATTAAACACAAATATTTTCTACTCCCCAAAAAACAAAACATGGTTTTCTTAACTGCAAAGTTTACTTAGGTCTGGCTGTTAAACAGAATCCCGCCTACTTGAAATTGCGTAAAATCCGTGCTGCTCAAAGCATAGCTAGAACCGTAAGTTTCAATTTATTAGCAAAATCTTTTTTTCTACTGAACAAAAACAATTTGTTTCCTTCTCTTACAGATTGCCAACTCACAGAACAAGGTCTACCTCTCGGCTGATAGCTTGATGTTGAACATCCAAGATTCCAGCTTTGATGACATGACTGAAAAAGTTTACAAAAGTAAATAAATCGTTTCTATGAACATCAACAAAACAACAACCCCCCATCAACTAAAAATAAACTAAAAATTATCTTAACCAACACCATGTGTTAAAAGAAAGAAAAGAAGATTAACAAAAAAGTGTGAAAAGAAACAAAATTGGCAAATCATGTCACATTGCATTTGTTTGCGGTACCATAAACCTTGGTACCCATTATTAACTAAACTTATGAATTTATAAACAAAAACTAGTGTTCCCGGAGATGTAAATGATGAAAAATTTACTTGTATTTTCTCTATCTCTCTCTTTTCTTTTGGTATTTCTTTCTGCTTTTTGATCTAAATTTTTTTGTTAATTATTATTGCTAAAACCTCCAATGATGTTTAGCCTTACCCGAGGATATATTCGATCATCCACGTCAACAACAGCAGCAGCAACACTAACAAGAACTTTCTGCTAGAAATGCATTTGATGAGCCATTCAGTTTTATTCATTTCGAATCACTTTTTTGTTAATTTCATTTATAATAACTTTTACATTTAATTATATTTTTTTAATTGTTTTAATGCTGAATCCATATACATATGGGAAAAGAAATATTTTCTTCATCTACAATTTAGTAGCAGCTCCTTTCTTCCTCCCCTAAACCATATGGATTTAAAAGAAAAAAACTGTATAATTTCGTCATGTAGTTTTTAAGTTAAGTGAAACAAAAACACACACACACACAAATTGTTAAACAATAGTTGAGTTGCTTTTGTAAAAAGCTTCACAGCGAACTTTGAATGATTTTTATTACCATATTCACATTTCGCTAAATGTGTTAAGTACACATACAAAAGCATACTTAAAAGAACTAAAAATAAAGTTATTTGTTACAAAAAAACTAAATTTCTTAAATGATGTCTACAATTTGTTTAAGCGATACAACAAAACTAATAAAACAAGAGATATAATTTCTGTTTAAAGAACAACATTTATTTATTTGCCAAAAGACATGTTTTGTTAATTACTATTATTTCTCCCAACATTTTGCAGTTGGCGTTGATTATTGGCTTGATGGATCCATAAAGACTGTAGGCAAACATTCCTTGTCGGCGGCGAAAAGTGTGGGAGCCCTAGCTCATCACACTGCTGATCGTCTGGTTTAGCAAGATCATACTGAACAATAATAAGTAACACCCCAAAAAAACCCACACACTTATTACTTTTTTGTTAAGCAGTTTTCGCGAATAAATTTCAAAATGTATTTTTTTATACTACTGCAAGAAATCAAATTTTTTGAAAAATGTTTTTTGTTTTTCAAATTGCAATAAAATTGTTATCGTACCTTTTTTAGTACAAAATAAAGCCTTTTTCTATTAACTTGCTCAAAATTAAATACATGTACCAGTATCAAATCCAAACTTTTTAATAATCCACATCAACTGCAAAAAGAGTTTAGGTCGAATAGAGATATAAGAAAAATTTGCAACATTTATCACAATCAATTTTTGTTCTCAATAAGTAATTTTGTTTTCAAAGTTGTCTTCAATAATTAAAAACAGCTGAGCAAGTGGGCTGTGTCGACTTTGTCTTGGCCTTGTATTGTCAGTTGGGTTCCATAGGCTGCGGATTCATTAAGGATAACACATATACATTCATATTTTGACATATGATTATGATTCACCAATGCTCCGACGAAATGGTTGAAACTAGAATCTTGGAATTTGGGGTAATGGTCATTCTCGGTCCAAAGGTGCGAAAAGTACTAAATCTGGTACCATTTGTATTTGGTGAACCGGTGCAGCTAGAATTCTGAAATTTGGATTGAGGGTCATTGATGGGGTGTAGCAGAGATGTACCAAAGTGTTTTTGGAAATTCGAACTATAAGTATCCGAAAAGTACTAAAATATACTAAATGTGTTACAATTTCGTAGCATGTGAACGGATAGAGCTAAATAATTGGTTATAGGCTAACCGACAGAGCTGGAACACTGAAATTTAGAGTTAAGATCACTGTTGGGGTGTAGGATTGCGATATGTAGGAAGTTTTGGAAATTTCTACTAATGGGTTGATTATGGAAAGCAACCAAACTCCAGTTGCGATTTCAACTGTCAACGCCACTGAAATAAAACATAAAATTATGAATATCAACTTTTCTCAGTTGCCGTCGATAATACTGTTTTGACACTTCTGCAACCAAAAATATTGTAAACAAACAAAAAATTGAATAGAATATTTCAGAAAAACTAATTTTAAGTGATGATAAGCTCAATGGAAATAGATTTTGATGATGAAAATGATGCAAGAAAATGTGTTTAGAGAAATGTTCAATCAACTGCTCATTTTAGCTATAAGGCGTATTTTCGGATACCAAAAGATGCCGTTGTGTACTTAGTTCACGCATTAAATCCTGGTTTCCGAAAAGTCCGACGGTCAGCAGCAATTCCTCCTCTCTTAAAAGTGTGTGCAGTTCTGAGGTTTTTTGCGGAGGGAAGTTTTCAAAAGTCCCATGGCAATGACTTCAACCTTGGCATGGCTCAACCCACAATGTCGGTCGTTTTGACCGAAGTTGTCCGGATAATTGAGGTAAGACTGTGTAAAATTTGGATTGTTTCCAAATTAACATAGGTGGAAAAAGGGAAGAATAAACATTTTATATTCGAAAACAAAGTTCCCGGGTGTTGTCGGATGTATAGATGGCACACACGTACATGTGCCAAAAATAAGATGTTCGCCATTTATATTTAAATAGGAAAGGCTTATGTTTAAACGTTTTGCTGGTGAGTTTTTATGCAAAACTAATATTTTTTTACATAGGTACTTGTTTTGTAGTTGACGGTAGACATCCTGGATCTAAACATGATGCCATCATATGGAATAATAGCCCACTTTAGCAAGAGGTCGCAGATGATTTCGGGCCAAATACATGGCTACTAGGTTGTTATATATACTTATAGTTCTAATTATCTTCATAATTTGAAAATTTTAAGTGATGCTAGATTTCCATTGGAACCACAATTATATTATCAGCCGAACCGCATTCGCCTGAAGGTAAATACAATAGGTTCGTTCGTTTACTCAATAATTTGTACGAATTTGTACAAATTATTACAAAATGTTGTTCGTTTACCCAAAAGTCCAGTAAAAGAGAGCGAATTGAGAGAGCAGATTTGACAGTTGTGTTACTGAGTATTTGCAAATTCTTACAAGGAAAATTTAGTTAGTTAGTTAGTTTGAAAAGAGGGGTGGTTTCAAAGAACCACCACATGTCCATTATGGGACATACACTTAAGCCATAGGAGGCCTGTTGTGCGCTCTAGGAAGGAAAAGTATTTAGATTTGAATTATTCTTATAGTTTTTGTTTGGTCTCCCTATTCTTCTAGGAATTCTGTGTTTTTACAGAAGTCCTTTATTATTTTCCATTCACACCCCCTTAGGTCATTTAGTTCAGGAATAGTATCGTTTTTCAAGAATTGGGTTCGGATGAATGCAAAAGCTGGGCAGTGGCATAGGAAATGTTCCAACGTTTCGTTGTCTTCCCCACACGCTCTGCACCTGCTGCTTCCCGAACACCCAATCTTGTGTAAATGTGACTGCAGGTTAAGGTGTCCTGTAAGAATGCCTATCAGTCTGCTTAGTTCTTTCTTGTTTAGCGTAAGTATTTGCTTAGTCTTATCCTCATTTGGGTCTCCCCATAAGATTTTTGTGTTTTTTCCAGTCTCCTTATTCCAGTCTCGTTATTCCAGAGTGTTTTGTGCGCCTCTTCCGCCCATGACCTCATTTCTAGACGTGAAGCGCTGAAAGGTTTTGCACTGTTCACATCTATGTTGATTAGGTCTGTAGCACGTCTGGCGAGTTGGTTGGCTATCTCGTTTCCTATAACTCCTGAGTGACCCGGTACCCATATTATACGTACAAGACCGTGTCGTGAGAAGTTATTTATTGTTTTTATACATTCCAATACGGTTTTAGATGTAACTGTCTTGGATGTTATTGCTTTAATAGCATGTTTACTATCTGTCATGATGTTTATGTTATTATGCCCAGAGTTAGAGCTTAACCATCTTAGACACTCCGTTATAGCTTGAACCTCCGCCTGTAGGATCGTGTTGTGATCCGGCAGGCGAAGTGAGATTTCAGTCCCCGGTTCTTCAATAAAGAGTCCCAGTCCCGTCTTCTCCGCTAGCCGGGAGCCATCCGTGTAACAACAATTCCCCGGAGGCATATGAGCTAGTGTTCCGCTGTTCCATGAGTCTCTGTCCGGTATCATGATTTCACACAATGTGATTGCTCTTGTTTCAGGTATTCGATCTGACTCAAAGTGGTTAATTGAGTGTCCGATCGTAGCCTGTACTATGTTTTCGTGTTTAAGTCTTAAAGCTGCGATGGCCGCTTCGTATTTTATTTGGATGTCAACTGGGTGTATATACAATATAGTTTCCAGTGCCCTGGTTGGTGTTGTCCGCATTGCCCCGCATATGCCTAGACAACAAGTTCTTTGGACTTTCTGTAATGTTTTTACATTACATTTTTTGTCCATTGCTGTCCACCAGACTACAGACGCGTAAGTTAGAATTGGCCTAATAACGCTCTTGTAGATCCAGTGTACCATCTTTGGGTTGAATCCCCATTTAGAGCCCGCGGCTCTTCTACAGAAAGACCAGCATCTATGGGCCTTTTCGACCCGTTGATGTATATGGTCTTTCCATCTAAGTTTTCTATCTAGGATGACACCTAGATATTTGACTTTATTTGATATTGCTATCACTTTGTTTTGAAAGATTGGTTCTTCATACTGTCCTATTTTTGTCTTCCTAGTGAAGAGACATATTTCCGTTTTGTCCGGATTTACGTTTAGACCTCTCGGCTTTGCATATGGTTGACCCAGTCTATAATTTCCTGGTCAACACTAAAGGCTTCTAAGGATTGGATAAGTGTTTCGGTGCTGACATTATTAAAGGCTCCTTCGATGTCAATGCAGACTGCTAAAGTGTACATTTTCTTATCGAAAGTTCCTTCGATGTGGTGTACTACCTCATGTAGAGCGGTTTCCACTGATCTCCCCTTTACGTACGCATGTTGTTTATATT